GCACTTCTCTGCAGCCCTGGGTGCCCCCACCTCTCCCTCTCAGCGTCCCCCCCCCCCCTTCTTTCCCTCCCTGCCCAGGAGAGAGCTGTGAGGACAAGAGTCCGCCGGGCCCAGCGTCCAAGCGGGTGCGCACAGCGTACACGAGCGCGCAGCTGGTGGAGCTGGAGAAGGAATTCCACTTCAACCGCTACCTGTGCCGGCCCCGCCGCGTGGAGATGGCCAACCTGCTGAACCTCACGGAGCGTCAGATCAAGATCTGGTTCCAGAACCGGCGCATGAAGTACAAGAAGGACCAGAAGGCCAAGGGCATCCTGCACTCGCCCGCGGGCCAGTCCCCGGAGCGCAGCCCGCCGCTCGGGGGCTCGGCGGGCCACGTGGCCTACCCGGGCCAGCTGCCGCCGGTGCCCGGCCTGGCCTACGACGCGCCGTCGCCGCCGGCTTTCGCCAAATCCCAGCCCAACATGTACGGCCTGGCCGCCTACACGGCGCCGCTCAGCAGCTGCCTGCCGCAGCAGAAGCGGTACCCGGCGCCGCCCGAGTTCGAGCCCCACCCGATGGCCAGCAACGGCGGCGGCTTCGCCAGCGCCAACCTGCAGGGCAGCCCCGTGTACGTGGGCGGGAACTTCGTCGACTCCATGGCCCCCGCGTCCGGGCCGGTCTTCAACCTGGGCCACCTCTCGCACCCGTCTTCGGCCAGCGTGGACTACAGCTGCGCCGCGCAGATCCCCGGCAACCACCACCACGGACCGTGCGACCCGCACCCCACCTACACGGATCTCTCGGCCCACCACTCTTCTCAGGGACGCCTGCCCGAGGCCCCCAAACTGACGCATCTGTAGCGGCCGCCCATGGCCCCGACGAACTCCTGGCGCGATTACCTCTTTGGCTTTGGTGGCGGGTGGCGGGCGGGGCCGCCGGGGACCCTACCTCGCCCTGTCCTCGGCCGCCGCGGCCTCTCCGGTTTCGGTTCAAACGGCAGCGGCCGGCCGAGGGGCAGGCGACTTGGGCCTCCTCCCCTCCAGGCGCATCCATCCTCCTTTGGGTGACTCGCCATAAATCAACCGCAAGGATTCTCCTCGGTAAGCCTGACAGTGCCAAATACTGCGGACCGAGGGGCTCTGGTCTGGTAGTGATGTCCCGAAGGTAAGTCTGAGATTCGCTGGCGGCAGCAGCGCGCTCGGCGGCAGGAGGACCAGAGCCCGGAGAGCAGGGCTCTGGGCCTGGCCCGTGTCTAAGCCTAGCTGCGGAGACCTTAATTTATACGCTCCTTCCCGTCCTGTAAGGGTGGAATCGGACTCAACAAATCTGTATTTATTATTTGAAGCGAGTCATTTCGTTTCTCTGATTATTTATCCTCGTTCTTAATGTATTTATGTGTATACTTGTAGAATTCTCCAGCCAGCTTAGGAACGCGCTCCCCAGGGCCTCGGGGGCCACATTTCATCTCTTTAGTCCCCGTGGTCGGAACTAGCTGAGAGAGTAGTTTTGAACAGTTGTAACCGTGGCTGGTGTTTGTAGTTGATGTAAAGGATTAAGACCGCAAATTGTCCTTCATGGGTAGAGTCAGACGACACACCCGTTACTCATTTCTCAAACAGCCACAGCCCCTCTGACTCGACACAGTTTATTGATTTCAAATTGTCTGGTACTATTTGGACAAATGTTTAGAATAAAGAATTTCTCAGTTGGAAGAGTATCTGTGTTAATCACACACACACTTGCAAGTAGATCGCTGCCTTTTATTTCCCCCACAATCTCACTGGGAGACCCCCAAATAGGCCGAACCTCTGAAATACATTTTCTCCTGCATTTGGAATGTAGGGCACACACACTGGCTCTGGGATATTTGATTACATTCCAGCTATTGACATTAGGGGGAAGAATCTGAGGTTACAAACCTATAAATGTTCCAGGCGGGATGACTTGGGTAGAGCTTTGTACTGTGCCTGCTTTGCTGTTTCTATCCGTCTTTCTAGACACAAATCCACTTTTTTTTTTTTAGATTGCATTTACATTGGGGAGGCCAGAGCTCACTTTTCGGTGTTAAGTAATAAAAAAAAAAGTACTTTGAAAGAAAACAGACAATCAAAAGAAAAGATACAAGTCGTAAGAAGAATTGAGCTACGACAAAGTTAAGGTGCAGAAAGAGAAATGATCATTTGGAGACAGGCACCTAGGCCTCTTCTCTAGGAAATGCTGCCATGACGTTCTCCTTTATAGTGGTTGGTGGTTCATTTCTAAAGAAAACAAGCATTCCCCATGATGTACAGTAATAAAAGTTTCATTAATGGAACATAAGTATAAACACCTTGTGTTCTGTTCCTTTGTACTCAATGGGAAAAAAAAATGTCTCCAAGGACTTATAACCATTTTGTAAATAACGGCGTGGCTTTAGCTCGGGGTGGACAACTTCCACCCACTTCTCTGGGAGGAGGCACTTAGAAAACGCCTTCAGATGAGGCTCCGTTCTTTGTATTTCAGCCAAGTCGGCCCACACATCTCTATTTGGTTTGACAAATAATGCAACTCCTACTCCATCCCTGGTGACACGAGGTGAAATTCCTATTGTGCGGAAATAATTTAACTTCTAATCTTCTGGTGGGGCAACAACCATTTCTATTTGGATGTTTGTGTTTCGCTAAATAATGATGGCTTAAAAAAACCATTTAGTTCCCTTGTTCTTTTTGTGCCATTAAAAAAAAATGGCATGTTAGATTGGGGGCAGGAGTGGGTTATCCTTTCGCCAAATTTCACCCTTTTCCGAGCAGGTTTAAAATAGTCGTGTTGTGCAAGTGTTATGAGCAAGAATAAATGACTTCAACCGGAAGGACAGATTACCCACTTTCAAGGATTAAAATTGTTTTCTATGAAATTTGCATCCATAGGCAGAATGTCTAATTGTCTTGTAAGAAATTATTTCTAAAATTAGTAGGGAAATCCAAGAAGAGCTTGCTGCTTTTGCAGGAATAACAATCTTTCTTAACTGGCTAAATATTAAATAGATGAATTGTTAGGCTGTTTAGATTCAGCCCGGTTTTCCCTCATCTCCTCTTCCTACCATAAGTAATAATAAAAATACATAATGCATCATGGCTCCAGGCATTTTCCAGTGCGGTCTGCTACCGCAGGAGTATCTGCTGAGTCTGCGGGTGTCTGCGAGGCCCCAAGTGTCATCTGCGGCTTAGGGTTTCATGGATTAGACTTTAAACGGTGTCTAGCCCGGCTGACATCAGCTCCCTCTCACGCTGGGACTCCAAAGAAGCGCGGGGGTTAGGGGCTCCCCTCTCCAGGCAGCCGCCCGGAGGCACCTTCTCCTGTTCTCCCCCCTCCCCCCCACCCTGCACGAGTTCTCTAGGGACAAACGTGCCGCTCCCGCTCCTTCTTGGAGAAAGCTTCCCCGAAGCAGCTTCCGAGAATGGCTCGGGTGGGCACCACTAGGTCGCTCCCGGCGCGGGTGGGGAGTCTGGGGAGGGCGCCTCCCGCGCGGCCACAGGCCGGGGCGAGAGTGGGCCCTGCGACACGGCCATTTAAAACTTCATAAATTATAAACAAGCTGCCCTGGCCCTCGCCATAAATTCTGCTCCCTTTGAGCCTGCAATTAGTGTTAGGAAGCGCCAGAGTCTAAACCCAACCGAACGCGCCCTCTGAAGGGCCCAACGGCCCGAGGTTTGCAAAGTTTTATTTATTTCCCCTGCGCACCCGAGGTTTGCACACACAGCCCCCGCCCCCGCCCCCGCCCCCGCCGGCGGCGCGCCCCGGGCCGGCTCCCCAGCCCGGAGGGAGGCCACAATAGCGGCTCTATCGGAGCGGCGCCCCTCCCCCCGCCGGCGGCAGAGCGCGGGTGGGGGAGGGGAGCAGGGCTCAGGCCTGGCTCCAGGGCGGGCCTGCGGCGGGAAGGGGCGAGCTGGCCGGAAGGCACACCACCGCCCGGGCCGGGCGCGCAGTGGGGACAATAGGGAGCGCTCCCAGGCCTCGAGGCTGCAGGTCCTGGCCGCTGGGAGCGGGGCTGTGGGCGCCCAGGGCCGCCCGCCTTCCGGAGCGGCCGCCCCATTGTGCGCGCAGCTCCCCGCAGCTCCGCGGAGGCGGGGAGGCCACACAAAGGCAGCGCCGGGCCGGCCCTGGAGGTGGGGAAGGGCCCGGCCTCGCTCCGGGCCTGGGTCTCTAGGAGGCTCACTTGGTTTGCCCACGGGGAGGAAATGCCTCTTTGACTCAGGCCTGGACCAGCTCTGCTTTTTCCTGTAGGGACCGCTGCGGGGTGGGGGTGTCGGGGGGAGGTGATGTGACAGGCTGTGGGGGAATCTTCCCGAGGCCAGAAGAAAAGGGTTAGGGCCTCAAGCCTCCGCCCACGGGTGGGAGTGGCAGTCGTTCCTTTCAATCAAAGTGTGAACTAAAGCAAGGTAGAGGTGAGGCAGCAGGGACAGCCCACTGCAAAACGGGAGGTGACGGGAGGGAAAGAGCCTCGGGCAGAGCTAGCCCTGGCTACCAGGCGACACTCAGGCCCCCCAGCGTGAAGTGATGGGGAGGAGATCCAACCGAGCTAGCCAGAGGGGTGCGGAAGTTGCAGGAGGAAAGGCCTGAAGGGTAGTTCTGGCCCCCGGGAAGGCAGTAAGAAAGGGTGATTAAGTACATATTCCACCTTCTGGCTTTCAGACCTCAGCCTCATCCGGGGACCTGACAGAGAAAAATCTGCCTTTGATGGAATCACTGTTGACCAACCGCTCATACCGTTTCTTTACACAGGCTTTCAAAGGAGAGGGGGAGCATAGAGAGTACTTTCCCCTTGATACAGCCCCAAGCCTAGTCCCTATCAGATACACATCAGCCCAATGGTTTTCCTCGGCCGCAGAGGCTGCTAACCTTGCTGAAGAGAGTTTTAAAATACAGTGATTACCTCTACCAGCTACTCCCTGCACCCCGTGCCAGCTGACTGACCCTTGAGCGAAGTGCATCCTCGGAGCCAGCAGGCTGGGGAGCCCAGGCTCTCCATCTGTTGAGGCTTCCATTAGGGAGGGTGAAGGGGCTGTGTGTGTGGGTGTATGTTTGAATAACAAAGAAGGAACCCAACTTCTACTTGACCTGGGGAAGCCAGAAGCTTGTTGCCACCTTCAGGATTCAAAGGGCAGTCCCAGGCCTGCTTTGACATATCCTGAGAATGAGTTGAAACTTCCTCCCAAAGTTAAGACTTGGTTCGTCCCAGTTACAGATCTAGAAAGGTCTTCTTCCTCTGGGAGTTCTTGGCATTCCTTTGGTCCTTCTTTCAGAAACTGTAAGAAGAGAATAGGATGAACAGAAGTTTGTGATTATTAAATAAAAAATAAAGAGGGGCAGAAAGCTCTAGTTCCCACAGGCCTGTAGCCTGCTCTCTTCCCACATATCTATCCCTAGACACTTTGGGCACGGGAAGCCAAGACCGAGTTACCAGCCACACCCTCACCATCTCTGAGGACTGGCTCATTTAGGTCTCTCTTGCAGAAGGCCCCGGTGAGAAAAAAAGATTGGGTAGATGAATCCTCTGTAGTTACTGCACTGGTGGTGCTAGTTGGTGGTGGAGAGGCCCATCACAGGGAATGAAACCTTAGTTCTCATTGTTCCCTTGTCTTCTGCTCCAGCTGCAAATGCCCTTGTCTTGGGACCTAAGTTGGCACCAAGTGGATTTATATACTCGGCTTAAAGCCTATACCTAAACACCTCGTCAGTTCTCATACTCACACTGGCAAGTTGGAAAGGTCAGAGACAATCCAAAGACCTACTTTCAGGCCAAGTGCAGCCGGATGTCCAGTGAACAAAAGATTTCCACACTTGAAAAAAGGGCCAAGGTAAATGCATGTCCAACTGTTTGCAGTAGCAGAAGCAGGTGAAGGGTCCCTGGGAGATCTGCCAGATGGGAGATGTTGGTTAAGCACTCTTGTCCTAGATCTTGTGGCAAAATATCTTGACTGGTTCCCATAGCTCGTCTGGATCGTTTTCATGGAAGAGTAGTATCTGGAAAATTATGAAAATAGGGTGTTAACATTAATAAGAGCCCAAGGAGAAGATCTTAATTCAAATCAGGATTCATGGAGAACTCTGGTACAAATGAAGTGTTTTTTGCAGGGGAAGCAGGCTTCAAACCAGGGAGAGAGAGAGAGAGAGAGAGAGAGAGAGAGAGAGAGAGAGAGAGAGAGAGAGAGAGAGAAAACCTGTTAGACCAGGCCCTTTTTGAAGGAGGGAAGAGCAGTCCCTGACTTATAAGGAGAAGGCCTTCTTATGAATCTATTGTTCAAAGTGTTGCCCTACAAACAGCTGGGTCCCAGGAGCTGAGCTCCAGGCAGCGGCAGAGCTGGCACCTCCTCCCCCTCCCCCAGTCTGTTGCCCCTTAGAGCAGCAAGGACGCCTTCCCCACGCAGGCAGAGAACGCACAAAGGAAGCCCCCCGCTCGTCCTGGGAGCCCGAGACACTCTGGGGAGGAGGCTGGCGTGGACCGCGAGTCTGAGCACCTCCCTCCCGCGTGGGTAACAATAGCCCCCGCCTCCCCGCCTCCCCTGGGCGGCCAAGGCGGCCAGTCATTCGGCAGCACAAAGGCCAGTTTGGGCTGCGCCTCCAAGCGACGCTTCTCCCAGCTTTCCACCAGGCGCGGCAGGGTGCTGCGGCTGGGGGGAGGATGGGTGTTCCCCAATCCACCTGGAGCACTTTGGAAAGACAAACGGTGAGTTAATCACCCAACCCGCTGGTGGCCAAGCCCCCTCTCGAGAGCATCGAGGAGGTCTGGGGAGGGGGCTGGGGTGAACGATTTCTCCGTGTGTGTCTAGTGTGGGGTGGGGGAAGCGGGAGAGGTTAGTCCTATTAAGAGTTCATCAATCACCTGGTGTGCACTTTTTCCGCCAGACAGCGGTTCCTCCTCCTTCAGAGCAAGTCTGGGCCAGCTGGGAGCTGACCATAAACCGCAAGCGGATGAGACGCAGGCACACAGACACTGCGATTGAGCGCCAAAGGAGGGCAAGACCGGTCACCAGGGCACCCGAGCAGCAAGCACTGCCTGGCCAGCACTCTGCTAGGTCAGGGCGGAGGGAAGCACTGGCCATTTACCTCTTCCCACAGGCCCAGCACTGCTTCCCATCAGCTCTGTCCGCGGACCACTCAGGGTACCCAGCACCTGCCCAACATGCCTGCCCCTACACCTGCCTCTCAGTGATTCTTCATCCCCTTCTCCCCCCAGACCTCCTGCTTGTTCAAGTGACACTCTTAAACACTGGCTCTATCCCCAGAAGGACCAAACCCATCTCAGATAATAGACAAAACAACAACAACAACAACAAAAATCAATGGGTCTGAAAGTTCTTGCAGATACTTTTCATTTAAGAGTTTTAAGAAAGATGTCCCCAGGGACTAGAATTCAAGAGAAAGCCTGAACTAGTTTAGTTATATTTACCTGCAGGAGTATTTACACCGAGTGGCTAGATTATGATCTCTGAACACATAATAATCTGGCCACTCAGTGTATATCCTATATAATAAAAGGATAATATGCAAATTGTCCCCTTGATGAGGCATTAGACCAGGCAGGCAGGCCAACTGCCCATGTCCCCACCTCCCTGGCCAGGTTGGCCAGACCCTACCCATGCATGAATTCATGCACCGGGCCTCTAATATATATATATAATATATATATACTGAGTGGCATAATAATCTGGCCACTCAGTGTATGTGGGAGGAAGAAGAATAAGACTCCTATTGAACTTGGAACTAAACTTTAATGCCATTTAAAATAACAATAAAAATATTCTTAAAACAACAAACACAATGATATGCCTCTCCTGTGTGTGTGTGTGTGTGTGTGTGTGTGTGTGTGCAGAATTTGAGTATTTAAAAATATTTTTAAGGGAGGTATTATATATTAGTATTAGTTTCAGGAGTACAACTTAATGATTTGATATTTGTATGTACCACAAAATCATCACCAAATAAGTTTAGCTAACATGTCATCATATATAGTTACACATTTTTCTTGTGATGATAACTTTTAAGATTTATTCTCTTAGCAACACAATACAGCACTGTTAACTATGGTTACCATGCTGCATGAGTATTTTTATTTCAGCTCTTTTAGTTCATTTTAGAAACACCAGAAAGGAACAGACTCCAAGTCACTGCCATTAGAGCTGCTCCCAGCAGGAGGCTTAGGTGAGTGGGTGACAAAGCATTCTTCTATCCAGTCTTGAGTGGTACATAATGTCCAGTTTGTAAATTCAAAGAAAGTTCCAGGCTACCGTCTCTTTTACCTTTTTTCTGAGTGACATCAGGTAAGAATTTTCTAAAGTTAGTTAAATGTGTTGCCTCAGCCTACATCAAGGAGCCTCTGAAGGACATAAAATCCCAGCTTGCTTTCCCCTCCCCTCAGTCCTCACCTCTCTCCTCATCCTTGTGGGTGGAAATTAACTTGCTTTAGAGAAATGTTCTACTGTCATTTTGCTTCAGATATAAGCTGAAATGTTAAGCCTTGCAGTTTCCTGAACTCATTGAGCAATTAAAGTACTTGGTCCTGATGTTCTCTGTTCAGAACCTGCCCATCTCCTTGTCTTCCCACCAATACTGACTGAACAGTTCCTGTATGCACTGCCCTGGGCTCTGAGATACAAAAATGAGCCATTAATGCTGAGTACTCTTCTATCTCCTGGGGGAGAGAAAAAAACACACAACAACAAATCCTAAAACAGTGACAAATGCTGTCATTGGAGTGTGGCCAAAATGTTCCTAGAATAAAGAGAAGGCACCACTAACAGTACTATAGTGTCAAAAAAAAAAAAAAAAAATAGGGGGGGGGGTGGGGATGGGGAAACTTCTCAGAGGAAGTGAATTTAGGTCCTTAAAGTATAGAAGCTTTTTGGGCCCAGGAAGGAGGGACATATCAGGTGGAAAGAGCAGCACATACAAAAGGAGGGAGAGAAGAAAGTGCAAAGTCTGGACCTGGAATGAGGAGAGTGGTTTGGAGTGGGCCACCTGGCTGGAAAGACGCTGTAGAAGATCCATGGAAATGAATGTAGACTTAATCTATAGGCAATGGAGAGCCACTGAAGGTTATAAGCTAGAATGGGAGGTCATCTGTTCGGAAAGCTAACTCTTTAAAAAAAATTGTATATATATTTCAGAGAGGAAGGGAGAGGGAGAGAGAAATAGAAACATCAATGATGAGAGAGAATTAATTGGCTGCCTCTTGCAGGGTCTCTACCTGGGATAGAGCCCACAACCTGGAATGGAACCCTGACCTCCTGGTTCATAGGTTGATGCTCAACCACTGAGCCATGTTGGCCTGGGGAAAGCTAACTCTTGGGGGTACTGTGTCTGATTAGAGAAAGGAGAGAAAGGAGGGAAGAAGAAAAAAGGAGGCTGCTAGAATACCCAGCCTGGAGAGGAACTAATGCAATAGGATGAAGAGGGGAGTCACTTAGGAGGAAGAATTCATAGGACTTGGTGATCACCTAGTTGAAAGAGTGGTGGGTGTTAATGCTTAAGTTTATTCTATTTTGAATCTGCATGGGTAGTCAGGTCATTTCACCAACATGAGTAGAGGAGGGAGAAGAGAAGGCTTTGCAGGGGAAACTAATTAGTTCAAGTTTAGGTTTATATTGTGTTTTCTGCTTTGTTAACTGATACATTGCATGACCCTAAGTAATTTACTTAATCTTTCTGGCCTTCAATGAAACAGTCAATAAAGATACCTCATAAGTTTATCTGTAGATAAAACTAGAGCAGAGTGTGTATGTGTTTTATGATCTTCATCAGGTCTAAGTGACTGTCCTATTATATAAAGCTAAAACCTAAGGAAAGATTTTCTTTCCCATCCATGCTAATTAATATTTAGGTCCTGGGTGGCCAGTGAGAAGTCTCAGGAAAATTAAAGACATAGCCTACTGCTTCCCAGATATTGAATTCAAGCTAATATTTAAGACTAGGTCAGATCAGCCGAAACCGGTTTGGCTTAATGGACAGAGCGTTGGCCTGCGAACTTAAGGGTCCTGGGTTCGTTTCTGGTCAAGGGCATGTACCCTGGTTGCGGGCACATACCTAGTAGGGGGTGTGCAAGAGGCAGCTGATCGATGTTTCTCTTTCATCGATGTTTCTAACTCTCTATCCCTCTCTCTTCCTCTCTGTAAAAAAATCAATAAAATAAAAAAATAAAATAAAAAAAGACTAGGTCAGATCAGATTGCTAATCAGAGCCCCACTGCTTCGGAATGGTACTCTCCAGGGGAGACATGCAGAAATAGGGTCTTGTTATTAGACCACTTAAAGAGGAGTCCTCTTAGCAGATGCTGGAAAGTTTCTACATTTTTATTTTTACATCATGTATCTTTCAGGAAATGCTTGAAACCACCCACTCTTTTTGCACCTCAAGCTTCCTATGGCACAGCATAGTATATGAAGGAGAGTTGAACATCTGATCTTGGCCCTTTACATGGGGTGTGACTATAGCAATCTTCTCTGTGTCAGTAGTACCATTTATAAAATAGAAGGATGAAAAGATCAAATAAGACAAGTAGAATGATATTTCTGGGAATGCTATAAGGGTAAGTAAAGTATTATTTTTCACTTATCAGATGGGCAAAATTAAAAGACTAATTCCCAGTGACTTGGCAAAAGTGTGAGGAAACAGGAATTCTCATTTGTTGATGGTAGAAGGGTAAACTGATTCATCTCTATGGAGAGAGGCTTGGCAATACGTATCAAAACTGCCAGCATACAAACTTTTGACTAATTTCACACCCAGGAATTTTTCTAATAGACAAAAACTTAAACATGTATTTGTTACAGCAAAAGATTGAAAATTAACTGTTGAGGGCCGCCTGGGAAAGCACATGGGCAATTTTTTTTTAAATTATCAGCTGAACTCAGGGAGTAGGCAGAGCCATGTCCTGGGAACATGCTTCCCCAATAAGGCTGGACATGTTAATCAGTTCTGACTTCATAGCAGCCCAGGTGTTGGCAGGGGCGGGACTAGATATGTAAATCTAGGCATATAAAAATAAACGCCCTTCCCCTTCGTGGCTCTCCAGCGGACAAGATGGTGGCCCACCCAGTTCCCAGCTTTAAATCCATCTCTGTGTCTTCTCTCTTTATTTCTATTATTTCTCAATCCCTGGCCGCCTCCACTTAGAACCTGTCCAACATGCTACTGGACACTTTTCAGCTTCACTGACTCCAACTAGCCATGAGTTCTCACCTTGCTGGTTCTAGAACTCCTCTCACAGAATAAACTTTCTCTCCCCACACTGCTCCCTCAACCCAGCTCCTAAAGCAGAAATTCTCCCAAATGTGGTTCCAAAAAACCTTACCTTAGAACCACCCAAAAGGTTTATTTAAAAAATTAGAATAAAATCTCCAGGGGTGGGCCAAGGGGCCTGCATTTTTAAACAAGCTTCTATGGTGATTCCTAACCATCTGAAGTGGTTTTGAAAGCAAATAATCCAAGGCTATTTTAGCTAGTATTAGTCATTGTGAAGGCATACCATTCTGTCTATTCTTCATTTCTGTCCAACAAACACTTACTGAAGTCCTACTGTGTGCTAGGCACAAGTTTGACCCATGAGCCTTTCACTCACAAAGCTCTTAGGGAATGGCACAGAACTCAATACTGTTTTCCAGGGGGAGGGGCATGTTACCAGACTCCTGATAGATTTAGAACTTCTGTCCTTAGGATCTTTGTCATCCCTATCTCCACATTAGGAAAAGCCCCCATCCTTTTACCCCTAAAGCAAGAGTCTTCCTATGCTTTGGGGCTATGGAGCCAACAGTTTGCATGTGCTCAAGTGTCTCCAAGGAATAACATGGTGGGGCTTGCCAAGAGGTTTCTCAGAAACAACTGTAAACACACAGAAGACCAGACTGCCACCCTCCATCACTTCTGTCTGCAGAGAAAAAGCTTGTCCTTTGTTCAAATGGGAGAGAAAAGTAGTCATGTGTGTTGGGCAGGGGTGGCTGCTGTGGTGAGATGGGAAAGATTTCAAAGCATTCCTACATCGAACAGAACCTGGCCATCAGGACCCTCTGCCATACCTCCTGCTGAGAACTCAGCACCAGGACCCCAGAGGGCAAGTGACCCTAGGGAATTCATGACTTGAGCAAACAATAAAATTTGTAAGACATTTCTCCCATACCCTGAAAACATCTAGGAAACAAACTTTAAAAGTTACTCAAATTACCCCTATTTCCCTGGCCAGTATGGCTCAGTTGGTTGGAGTGTTATCTCATGCATCAGGAAGTTGAAGGTTCCATTCCCAGTCAGGGCACACACCTGAGTTGTGGGTTCGATCCCAGTCTGGGTAACTGATTGATGTATCTCTCCCCTGCCCTCCCAGCCCTTCCTCTCCTCTTCTCCCATTCATTCTCTCTCTCTCTCTCTCTCTCTCTCTCTCTCTCTCTCTCTCTCTCTCTCTCTCTCTCTCTTTCTCTCTCTCTCTTTCTCTCTCTCTGTCTCCTTTCCTTTCTCCCCCTCTGTCTCTCTAAAAGAGTGGTTCTCAACCTTTCTAATGCCACGACCCTTTAATACAGTTCCTCATGTTGTGGTGACCTCCAACCGTAAAATTATTTTTGTTGCTACTTCATAACTGTAATTTTGCTACTGTTATGAATCATGTGACCCACAGGTTGAGAACCACTGCTGTAGAGCCTAAGACCATCAGAAAACACAGATGTTTATATTACAATTCATAACAGTAGCAAAATTACAGTTATGAAGTAGCAACAAAATAATTTTATGGTTGGGGGTCACCACAACATGAGGAACTGTATTAGAGGGTCGTGGCATTAGAAAGGTTGAGAACAACTGCTCTAAACAAAACAAAACACAAACCATATCCTATATTCACATCTTTCTACATACACTGCCCTCAATATTCCCTCCCAATTTATCCTTAGGAACTGTAGACACAGATTCTTCTGGAGTAGACCTGTGCCAGGGATGAATCCTTTGGTCCTTTGGTTTGTGAATATTTCCTCCCCCGCCTCCGCAGCCTAACCTTCCCCTAACAAAATATTCTAACATAGTACGTCCTTGGCAAATGTTTGTTGAATTTGAGGCTGAGATGATCAGAGTCTTGACTGCTGACCTGAGCATCTCAGGAGTGGGGATGACAATTCTGAACCCCAAAGTGTAGGTATGCCAAAGACTGGGAGATGAAAGGGGTAGAAGGAAGGATGAACAAAATGTATCCCCCTGTATGCAATTAGCAGGGAGTCTGAACAAATAGTGAACAACCTCACCCACAGCTGTGAAAACAAAACAACTCAATTTAAAAAATCTCATTCTGATTTTAGGATACTCGTTTCTCTCAGCAAAAGTTCAATCTCCAAAACTTTGCTTCAGTGAAATAGTGTGGACAGCTCATTAGTGCATCAAACTCAATGTTTAATTGTGATAGGAAGGACCCAACTTTTGCCCCAAGTTCTTAGCAGCAAAAACCTGGTCCTCATTGCAGTGAAGGTTGCTAAAGCAGCTAGGCCAGTGGTCGGCAAACTCATTAGTCACCAGAGCCAAATATCAACAGTACAACGATTGAAATTTCTTTTGAGAGCCAAATTTTTTATACTTAAGCTTCTTCTAATGCCACTTCTTCAAAATAGACTCGCCCAGGCCGTGGTATTTTGTGGAAGAGCCACACTCAAGGGGCCAAAGAGCCGCATATGGCTTGCAAGCTGCAGTTTGCAGACCTCGGATCTAGGCTATTTGTTTTTTCTGAAACCTCAGAGAAAGGGCCCTATATTTGATAGATTTTGGTCAGACTTGCCAGACAGTCAGGGCAGGTTTTCTGTCCTACATCCTGGGTTGCAGCCAGCTAGACATCTTCAAAGAGGTTTATGAGGCCACTCTTCATTTTTGGCCCCCTGGGGCCTCTAGGCCTATGTGTTGTCATTGGGTGAGTACCTTTTGAGAGAGGGCCTTTTGGTGTTGAGATAGGAGTGTAAGAGCTGGGACGTTATGTTGCTGAAAACTGGCTGTTAAGAGCCCAGCCAGAGGAGCCTCTATGAACTCAGCAACATGTGACTCGCTGATACTTTTGCATTAAAGGTGCAGAGGGAGAACGGTGAAAAAATACATTTGCATTTGAAGCCTGAGCTAGCTCTGAAGAGCTCTATCATTTCTTGACCCAGGTGCTAGAGAAAAGCTCCTATTTTTCTTTTTATAAAAAACTAGTTAGGACCTTTGTCATTTGATTGGCTACACGAGAAAACTGAAGTAGCAACACCAAGTTTGAAAGGAAGTTTGAAGGGATCAAGTTCAGCATAGGATTCTATTTCCCAATGAAATCCAAGCACTCCAGCAGTGCAGGATCCCAGGCTCCTTCAGCTTTGTGCTGGTTCCTCTCGATTTACCCCCTCTGCACCACAGCTCAACCCTCCCCCCTCTTGGCTCAACTTCAGCCTCACCAGCAGTAACACTTCTGGTGTGGCTTTGTTTATTCGCAAGTTCACATCCCTGTAAGGAACTGGCTCCCTAGACGCTGGTGGCTCCTATATTCCAGACTTCCTCAGAGTGCAATTTTAGGCAAGGGCTCAATGGCTCTTTCATGACAAGTGGATCAGTAAAACAATAATAAAACCTCCGTCACCATAACTCAGAGGCTGTAATAGATCAAGTGCTCAAGGGCACTTGAGAAGCCAAGAGTAGACTCTTTATTCACAGAGTTTTTTTTAGGAAACCACTCTCTTTCATGACTGCTGCGTGTAAATAACATCTATTTGTTTAATTGGTTATTTTCCTACAGCCACAAAGAGGGGAATATTAAAAAGAAATATTCAAGGGAGTCGGAAAGTTTGTCAATGTAAATCGCGTCTCTGAAGCCCTTCTACTCTTCATTTCCTGTGCCAACTGCACTTTTATTTCCCGTCTCTCCACACTCAGTAAACAAAACCATATTATCAAGGGAAAGACGTGAGCCCATTAACATTGTAAGCCCTCAGATTTCACTCGCAAGAGACGACGCAGCACTTATCTGATGGAACAGAAGCTTTAATTGCTTCGAGGTACAAGCCCGTCCAAACCTTTGAGATCTGACCGGTCCCTGGGAAGCCTCTGCGCCCTTGAGCCAAGCGCCGGGAGAGAGCGTGCCCAGCGCTCCTGCGAGCGCCAACCTCTCCGTTAGGAGCACAGCCGCCGCCGCTCCATCACAAGGGCGGATTCTTTATTTTGACAACCCAGTCAGAGGGGAGAAGCAGCCAAACTTCTGAACAGGGCAGAAACTTTATCTTCTGTCCGAGTCAAAACGTGTCACTCACTCCAACAGCCGCACCCAGGCCCCCGCCGAATGGAAGGGGTGAGGACACTGGAGGGACAGCTGCGCAGTAACGTGAGAATCTAGCCTGATCGTGAAAAGGCTGTGCCTGCCCAGGTATCCAGCACTCACAGCACAACATGTAGTAGTTCCTTCATTAAGTCGCAGAAAAGTGGGGGAGGACAGGGAATTAAACTTTCCCTCCAGGTTTAGGAAAGAAATAACATAGTGCCAAGAAAAACAAAAAACGCAGAGGTCTCAGAGAAGAGGAGGAGTAGGAGGAATCACTACCTTCCCTGGAGAAAGGCTAAGAGCAGTCCCCACCGGCCAAGCCCCACACTCCCTTTTAACCCCATCCGCTCCGAGATGGTCCAATCTGCACCTGAGCGACCAGCCACCCATGGACCCAGAAAAGCTCTCGCCCCCTCCTCCCTCCATCCTCTCTCCCTCACCCGAGAGGCCAGTCCCGCCTGCCCCACCCAGCCCTCCCCCCGGGCCGTGCGGCTCTCCCCCCCCTCCCCGAGGGGGGCCACTGGGTGGCGGCCTCCCGCAGGTTCGGGGCCAAGTTGGCAGCGGGGCAGGCGGGCCGTGCGGGGCGGGCGCCCATTGGCCGGCCGGCGCCACGTGGCCCCCCGGGCCGCTATATGAGCCACTATTTGCCCCGGGCGCGCTCGCCATGGCTCCGCGAGGGCATCCCGAGTAGAGTGAGTGCACTGGAGGAGCGGCAGGAGCCCGGCGGCCGGTCCGGTGGGCCTGCAGCCCAGCTCCGGAGGGGAGCGCCGGCACCATGAGCTCCTACCTGGACTACGTGTCCTGCGGCCGCGCCGGGGTCGGGGGCGACCTGCTCAGCCTGGCGCCCACGTTCCGCCGCGCCGACGCCCGGCCGGGGGCCCTGCAGCCCGCCTTCCCCCTGGGCAGCGGCGACGGCGCTTTCGTGGGCTGCCTGCCCCTGGCCGCCGCCCGCCGCCCCGCGCCTTCGCCGCCCGCCACCCCCGCGCCGCCGCCCGCCGCCCCGCCGTTCGCGCCGTGCCGCCTGGAGGGGGCCTACGAGCCGGGCGCCGCACCTGCCGCCGCGGGGGCCGCCGACCTCGCCTTCCTGGGGCCCGGGCCCGCCTTCGACTTCCCGGGCGCGCTCGGGCGGCCGGCCGACGACGGCGGGGCGCGCGTCCACTACGCCACCTCGGCCGTGTTCTCGGGCGGCGGCTCCGTGCTGCTCAGCGGCCAGGTGGACTGCGCGGCCTTCGGCGAGCCCGGCCCCTTCCCGGCGGGTCTCCGGGAGCCCGCCGACGGCCTCTCCGGGGCCTTCCAGATCGCGTCCCCGGCCTCCGGCGCCTACCCCACGTCCGCCTCCCCGGCGTCCGGCCTCCCCGCCGCGCTCAGCACCTTCGAGTGGATGAAAGTGAAGAGGAACGCCCCCAAGAAAAGTGAGTACTAACTGGAGTCTTGGATGGACGCTCCTGGGGTGGGGACAGAGCCCCCCTCCGCGCAATTGCTCTTGGGAGCACCTTGCAGCTGGTCCTCTAGACGGCGGTTTGGGTTCTAGGGAGGGAACGCGTTCCTAGGTGTTACCAAAGCAGGAGCATCCTAAGGAGCGCGCTCTGAGCACAGAGTGTGCCAGGCTTGGGGAAAAGTGCAGGAAGGCTCTCTCCATGGGGCATTTCCCCGGGCACAACTCCCTCTGTCCGCACAGACCCAGGAAGGCTGCGCTGGGACTTTGATTCTAACTGTGCGTTCATTCTAACAGTAGCCCCACTGCGCCCTGGTGTTGGGTCTCCACGTCCTCTAGCCCCTGCTGACGATCTGATCTGTCTTTATGTTGCAGGCAAGCTCACCGAGTGTGGAGCCGCTAGCCCCTCCAGCGCGATCCGCACGAATTTCAGCACCAAGCAGCTGACAGAACTGGAGAAGGAGTTTCATTTCAATAAGTACTTGACCCGAGCCAGACGCATCGAGATAGCCAACTCCTTGCAGCTGAACGACACCCAAGTCAAAATCTGGTTCCAGAACCGCAGGATGAAGCAGAAGAAAAGAGAAAGAGAAGGGCTTTTGCCCTCTGCGGCCACCTCTGTGGCTTCCCTCCAGCTTACCCTCTCGCGCAAGAACCTGGGGAGCCCTTCTCAGGCCCAAGAGCCCTCATGAGATTGAGTCTTGAGGCTGAGGAAACTTGGCCTGCAGGAGTCACAGGCCAGCCCATCCTTGTCTAGACTTAACTGGCTCAGTTTGGGGGATGGAAGTGGGCCTGGGCGGGAAGAGAGGTTTCATTTGGGAAAGGAAGTATCTTAGTTGACTTCTGAGTTCCAGGCTGTGGGTGTACAGATACTAATTTGAGGTCTCTTTAAGCCACTCATATGTGTTTTATCTGTGTCTTATCAGGGAAAAGGTGCCTAGCTTGCCAGCCCAACCCTGCTGCTATGTTGCCTTAGTCATATGCAATTCCTGGGTGCAGAGCTCTGGCAACCCGCTATGTGCTCCAAAGAGCGTTCACCCAAAGTTTTTCTGGTTTTAATTTAAAGACGAGCTACTTGTATTCAGCTTCTTGAGATGACCAAAGCTAGTTAGAGCTTCCCTGATGTAAATAGCTAAGCTGCTTCAATGATGATCTTGACATTTGCACTCCAGTTTGCTTTTCTTTAAGAAGCAGTTTCTACCTCTCCATGTGCCTGAGTGAAGATACAATCGCTGTTTAGATAGTAGCTGAACAAAAAGCCACAAGGTGGGTAAAGATCAGAACCTGAACTAAACCTTGATTCCAGTTACTCAAACTTGAATGTAAATATATACAATATGTATATTTTTAAAAAGGTTTGCTTGAAACGAACATATATGACATTTAACGTCATAGCATGTGAAAAGGTTTGAACTGTTTTATAATAAAAATTACAGAATATACTGCTCTCTGCTTTTCCTTACTCTCATTTTTCTTTTCTTTCAAGCTGATTCGGTTTCTTCTATTTGGAATTTCTTGATTCTGCTATGGAATTTTGTTTAGGTTGATAATTAAAAAAAAAAAAAACCCATTTCTTAAAGGTTGTGTACACAAACAAGTTTGGGATAATTATCTGAACAGGTTAAGGGAGAAAAAAAAAACTACTCTGCCAAATATCAACCAACCTCGGAATTCCTTACCTCAAATGCCTTAGATTGATGGCAGACATGTAGACTGCACATTAACCTGTAGAGTAGGTGCTCGCGATGGGAATGTTCTAAAGCCAAGGAGACACGGCAGGGCGGTTACTGTACTTTCGTCTCCTGGTCTTACAGAAGGAAGAGGAGAAGTGACATGAAGACTTTGCTAGTTGATTAGTGTACCCAGCTGCTCATCAGAAGTTCTCAATGTCTAAATTGCCATTTCCAAAGTCAAGTATTAGAAAGAGGCTTGGAGAAGCCAGTAGTCAGAGCTTTCCACTCTCTGTAACCCAGACTGAGCATCTGGCCTTCCAAGAGATAGCACAGAGGTGCTTTCTGGTTTTGAAATTAAATACTTTCAAATGAAGTCATAGGAAAAAGAACAAGCACAATTTGAAATTTGGCAAGAGGGTCTGTGGTAAACAACAACAACAACAAACTCTCTAACCTTATTTCCATCCAGTTCCCAATCCTGAAGGCACAAGTTTTTATGTAACCTTACGGAAATATTGTTTGAAAAAAAATGTAATTTTAATACACAAAATCCAGTAGATACTTAGGACAATTGTCAGGGCCGGTCATTTCCCTCACTGGATAGATAGCTGTAGCTGTATCTTTAAGTTCTCTGTGTAATTCAACTGAAAGGCTTAAAGGCCCACATAATCCAGATAAGAACTTAAGCTCTTCTTTTTTACCTAGGATTTCTAGATTCTTAGAGTAGCGCCTCAAATCCAATAATTCAGAGAACTAATGATTGTAGAGGATTACTTTCCTTATAAAACAGCAATGTGATTGCCTCAGAATATTGAAATTATAATGAAATTCCTGTCCTTTGTACTCTTTCACAGTTTAACGGAGTTGAAGAAATAAGATTGTCAGCTCTAACAAACGCAGCTGATAAGCGGGAAAAGATATCACTTAAAAAGCAGGTCTGTCAATATTATTCTTATGTTTTGCCATCTGCCCTTCACTAACTTGATGGAATCAGATCTTGTTTGAAACAACATCCTCCCCTCTGAGCTCTGAAGCTGTTTGAAAGGACTTGTTAAAGGAGTCGTGATCAGCTTGCTTACAGCCACCTCCGGTTTCCCCTACAGTGGTCTTTGACAAGACAATGTTTCCTTTTTGATAAGCGTTCAAATGTACACCTAAACAAAAGAGCGCCAAGAGGCTTGGTCATTTCCTTAATCTACTACCCTTTTCTTTGAGAAAATAAAACTTTGTTGTTGTTGTTGTTTGTTTTTAGCCACTACTAGCACTTAACCCTGATAGATGTCTCCCTTGATGAAGGTGCCTATTTTGACATATGTATAATGCTCTTCTATGAATCAGGCCCATATCAGCTATTTTTTGACCAACCAGAGGGATCTTTAAAAACTTTCTTAATGCAGATCACTATAAGGATATTCAGTATTAGAGAGAACTCTGGCTGAAGATTGAGACAAACTATATGACCTTTGAAGGTCCCTTTCTTTTTTTATTCTAAAATAAAATGTTTGTTTCTTTAAAAAAAAAAAAAAATATATATATATATATATTTATGGTTGAAAGTATTACAGATGCCCCTTTCCACCTCTATTGACCCCCTCCACCCTGCTCCTGTCCCCTCCCCAGGCCTTCCCTGCAAAATATATATATATATATATATATATATATATATATATATATATATATATAGTATTTTCATGGGCTATGCATATAAATTCATTGCTTAATCTCTTCCTGCAAATCCTCCTTTCCTCTGAATGCTTTAATGTCTCTAGATCTTTTTTGTTTATTTTGTTCATTAGGTTCCACATATAAGTGAGGTCATGTGATAATTGCCTTTCCCTGACTGGCTTATTTCGCTTAGCATAATATTCTCCAGGTCCTGGAGGTTCCTTTCAGCATGAAAATGCTACAGAAACAATTCAATGACTTCTGCATTATTTATTTTAGGTCTATCACTGGATGAAAGAGAATTCAGTTCTAAAAAAGCAAATACCTTTTCCAGAATTATGATGAGACTGTGTTTATAAAAGGAAAGTGAATTTTTAGAAATTATCAAATACATCTCATCAGTGGAGGTAACTAGCCCATGTGGATTATTTATAGAACAGTTCCCTTCTCATTATTCAGAACCTTGTATTATTTTGAGTCAGATCTTCCATGAAGTGTGATAGTTACTACTCAAATTGTGCAACTGCTAAAACAATCCTATTTCTATTTAACAAGATTTCAAATTAAATGTGCTAATTCATCTTTCAGTGACCCATTACAGGAAGGAATACACAATGGACAGTCTGGCTGTTGTATAATTAAATATTCAATGCTAGTTTTCACAGAATGACCATGTATCTGTTTTTGTGCATTCATGATAGTTGGGAGTGAGGAAAGAGAAATAAAGCATTGAATAGCATATAAAATTTCCATTGCTTGAATACTAGCAAATGAAGGCCTTGCTGATGTAAAATCCTAAAGCTATGTCGCCTAGCTTCTCAAAAGATTAATTGTACACAATTTACTCTGCCTCAATCTCATATATGGCTAGGCCCAAGACCAGAAGAGGTTATGTCCGATTAGCATGTCATTAGAAAGGAAGGGCAGGAGAGTTGCATTAGCTCTGATGTTCTTAATTACCGTATTTTTCGGACCATAAGACGCACTGGACCATAAGACGCACCAGTTTTTAGAGAAGGGAAATGAAGAAAAAAAGATTCTGAAACAAATAGTGTCCTAAAATATTTTATGTGCATTAAAACCCAACATCACAGTCATAAACACATGTAATCAACCCTGTAAAGTAAACAGCAGCATTTAGAACCATTTTAGAGCCGGGCAAGCACACAGAGACCACACAGAGCCGGGCAAGTAAAGAAACTTTTTTTTTAAAGTATATGTGTAGGCTATATTTGGACCATAAGACGCAGGGACTTTTCCCCCCCACTTCTGGGGGAAAAAAAGTGCGTCTTATGGTCCGAAAAATACGGTATGTCTTATGGACAAACAAATGCTCTATATTTGCTGAATATTGAATTTGAAAACCTCAGCACCTAATCAGTTTCAGTGAGGTGTTTAGTCTGACCACAGACCTCTCAACAAGAAAAATGCCCATTGTTAAAACTTTATTTGTGGTTTTAAAGTGAAACCATACTAGACATATCTCACAAATAATGACAAATCTCCACCTAACTAGAAATCAAGATTTTCATGGTTGTGACTTCTATAGCATATTTCCAGGGCATAAACATGCAATAAATATACAAAAGAGTTCTATTAAACATCTAAAATATCTGCTTAGGTTATACTTGTTATTCAGAAATATAATCTCAATAGAAACTGTTCAGCTAAGTTCCATAATGAATTAAGAAGAAAGAAACCCTAAATATCGAATGAAAGGGAATTCTATTACTTAGATCAGGAACAGGGAACGTCCAGCCCTTGGGCCAGATAAGGCCCACAGAATCTTTTGGCCTGGCTCTGCCAAGGCATTAGGGTTTAGTTAATTAATGTTTGGCCAAATATAGCAGGCTAATTTTTAACTTGATAATTTTGAATGGCCCACGAATGATGTTATAAATATCCAAAAGGTCCTTGGCAGAGAAAAGGTTCCCCACCCCTGACTTAGATTGTAAAGATTTAAAACATCACCTCTTTCATTTCTTTATTATTTATTTATTTATTTATTTTTATTTTATTTATTTTTCTTACAGAGAGGAAGGGAGAGAGATAGAGAGGCAGAAACATCGATGAGAGAGAAACATCGACTATCTGCCTCTTGCACACCGCCTATGGGGGATGTGCCCACAACCAATGTACATGCCCTTGACCGGAATGGAACCTGGGACCTTTCAGTCCGCAGACCGACGCTCTACCGCTGAGCCAAACCGGTTTCGGCGACCTCTTCCATTTCTAATAGTGTTATTGATATAATTTGGACAGGGTGGCCAGAGAGTGGACATTTGGACGTATCATATAATAGCTAATAAAGCAGGTTGCAGACACTTTGGAGGCATTTTCTAGAGGGCGCTAGACTATTAGCACATCCCATTCTTATGGGTTGTGTAGAAGCTAACCTATAATTTGAGGGGTCCTCTTTAAGGAAAAAAAAAACCCCACACAAAATCATAAATACAAAATTGTTAGGCCACATCCCAGGATCTAGAAGGGCCCAAGTTAGTGAAGCTTAAGTTTTTGTGGGTTTATGGCAAATCCATCTCTGCCCCTTTCTGAAACCATTGCTCCATCCACTGCCCACCATCCAGCCACTGCCTATAAGACGGTAACAACAATTGCTTTCCAGCCAGAATTACTGTTTGAACGATCAAGTGCATTCAATAATATATGTTGCGAGGACAAGGGCAGGTTGGAGCTTTGTTCTATAATCTGAGCATCGCAATCCCCCTCTGCTTTGGGCTACTGTCTGGCTGAATTACTGTACTTCACTCCTTGGAATGGGAGCCCTTTCCCATCCTCGGGGGCCTTTTTCTGTGTGTTTCCTTCTCAGTGGTACAAGCAGAAGCGAGATATAGGGTTAGAGAGCCCACTCTTAGCTTCTAAAAATTTCTCAGAAGGATGGAATCACTGAGACTGAAGTAAAGAACTGTGTAACTAAGAAAATTGCTCTTAAGTTAGGAAACATGGATTTTTCACACCAGCTGTGTTTTCTGATTAAAAGGAAAAATAACTTTCCTGGTCTCAGTTTCTCCTATAAAGAAGGGGGAGTTGGTCTGGATGTTCACTAAGTTTTCTTATCACTTTAGTATTCTTCTGTTTTTTCAATCCTTTACTCTGCTGTTTATTACTGAAAAGTGTTTTTAACAATATTGAAGCTTTGTAAGATTATCATCAATGAGAGACTGTTGTGATTGGAGTAATATCTGAGGTCTTTAAAATTCCATCTCTCCAGCTTTAGGAAGTGTATGTGTGTGTATGTGAGGTAGGTAATGTTTCTCATTGGTCTTGACTTGATGAACAACAACAACAACAACAAAAAAAATCTAACAATGCTCTTGCCCCATCCCACCAACCCCAAAGTTACCACTTCTCCTTGACCAGATACATTAGGGTCTAATAAGAAACCTTTTAAATAGGTGTCAGTACTTCATGTTCAGATTCTCAGTCTCCTTGTCCTTAATTCCATACCTCAAAGTTGTCAACTTTCAAAATAGAGAAATAATTTTGAATTTTTATTCCTTTAAAATATGTAGAATTGCAAAATAAATCCTCTCTTTTGTTGAAGAAAAGAGATAAAAAAACAACCAAATTACTCCTCCTTTCCCAAGTGCTGCCTTTTCCCCCCTTCTCCATGGGCTTCAGCTTTATCTTCTCTCATTCAGATATGTAGTGGGTGCCTCACTGGTCTCCTTGCCTATGGTATCCTTCCCAGCTATTCCATTGTAAAGCCCTGTCTTCATCGTGTTCCACTTTATTTATTATTTTTAAAAAATATATATATTTTATTGATTTTTTACAGAGAGGAAGAGAGAGGGATAGAGAGCTAGAAACGTCGATGAGAGAGAAACATCGACCGGCTGCCTCCTGCACACCCCCTACCGGGGATGTGCCCGCAACCAATGTACATGCTCTTGACCGGAATCGAACCTGGGACCCTTCAGTCCGCAGACCGACGCTCTACCACTGAGCCAAACCGGCTTTGGTTCGTGTTCCACTTTAAATTTTCTGTAGTTCCTGGTTGCCAGTGGGAGCAATTGAAATGTTTTTAGCCTGAAATTCAAGTTTCCCAACCTCTGTATTTTCCATGTTAATCTCATACCATTTCTTTCTCTCTTTTTATAATCCTCACTCAAGGATATTTCCCCATTGATTTTAGATAGAGTAGAAGGGAGGGAGGGAGAAAGGGAAAATGGGGGGGAGGGGTGGGGAGAGAGAAAAAGGGAGAATGAGAAACATTGATGTGGGAGAGACAGATTGATTTGGTTGCCTCCTGCATGCACCCCGACCAGGGCCAGGGATTGAACCTACAACCCAGGCCCCTGCCATTAACTGGGAATTGAACTCAGGACTCTTTTTAGTTTGGGCTGATGTTCTAACCATTGAACACACAAGCCAGGGCTCATACCATTTATTGACAAAAACTTCACCCCAGTTAGAATAGTCTGTTCATTCTCTCCCAAGGAAATTTATACTTTTTGCATTGGAACTTTTTCTCATGCCATTCTGCTCTCTCACAATTATCTTGTACATTTCCCCTACCTATTCAAAGTCATTCTTTAATAGCACATCTCAAGTCCTACCACCTCTGTGAATTTTTTTGCACCATCCAATTCTAAAGCAAACGCCTCTGAGTTGCTATAGCATAGTGAGTGTTTGTAATACTCACTCAGCACTTACGATCTTCTGCCATATTAAATTATCTCTTTTTTTCCTTTCTCTCTTCCTCTCCCTCTCTCTCTCCCCCTCTTTGCTGCTGTCTCCTTCTCCTCCTTCCCATTAGTTCTCTCTCCACGGGTACCGTATATATTTTATCTCTCATTGAGTACCTTGTATATAGCGCTATTTGCCGAATGTTGAATATAGTTTTATTAGATTAAAGGGTACAGTGCTACTCATCAAGCACCTCTTCCACTAGGTGCAGAGTGTTATAGTGACTTACTGCTAAGTATTCTTTGGATTCCGTTATTTACAGTGGAACATAGCTATTCTTGATCACACAATAAAATATGAATCGAAGGCTAGAAATACAGGAGGGAAAACTAGACTTCCCTCCTAAGCTTTAAGGCACATTCTTTTGATTGAATACAGTGTAAACCAACAAAGAGTGTGAATGCTAACTAAAAGATCCCTTTTATCCTTACAGAATATAATTTATAATGCTCTTTAGTTGTTGTTTGAGGCTTTTTAATATGTTGCATTTGCTACTTGCTACTGTCACTTACGTACCTTATGGAACAAAAATCACAGGAGGAGGACTGTTGAAACCAAACAAGGTCCAATGTGGGGTTTCTCAAGAAAGGTCTGGAGACAATTAAATGTAGTGGTTATAGCCATGCGCCTAGGTGGCTGGTAGGTTAGGGAGCACATCCTGGGACAAGGGACACCATGTTACTTAGCTCTAAATTCCTCTCTCAAAATGGGAGTAATAATGTCCTTACTTCATTGACATCCAAGGATAAACAGAGATAATATATGTAGGTTGCATAGTGCAATATCTGATGCTTAATAAAAATTTACTGTTAAGACAGAATAGATTATAAGTGTTGTAATAGGCAGCTAGGATGGAAATATGGGCTGAGGGAGAAAAGTATTTACTATATATACAACGAATATTTATTGATTTCCCAAGTGCCAGGTATAGACTATTAGAATTAAAGAGATACCGAGAAAGGAACAAGAATCACAGGAAATCAGGTTGGAGAAAATAAGTAAAGGCCTGGGATTATGGATAGAATTTGCAAGCCATTGGAAAATAAAATGGC